TTTTTTGTTTTTGGCTGAACTATGCCTTCAAGTCGATATAAAGTCAGTCTGTAAGCGCACACATTCAAGTAGAAAAGTACATTGAACATTGAATATTTCTTCCTGGAAATGATGCTGGAACAGAGCGATGCAGGGGATGTTGTCACAGTGGGAGCCTGTCATTAAAACAACCTATTATAGGCTTTTCAGCAAAATTAAAACGATTATAAAACACAATCAAATTGTTTTTAGGATAGAAAAAAAATCTATACTTGTTGCCCAGATACACATTACTGGTCAAAAGTTTGGAATCATTTTTTAAGTCTTTCTGCTCACCAAGACCGCATGTATTTGACCTCAAACACAGTAATATTGTGAAATATTATTACAATTGAAAATACCTGTTTTCTATCTGAATATATTTTAAAATTAAAATGGTAATTTACTATATCTTTTCTGACAACATTTCAAACCTGGAGTAATGATGCTGAAAATTCAGCTTTGATCACAGCAATAAAATACATTTTAACATATACTCTGTTTGTTTTTACTGTATTACTGCCTTGGTTCTTAATTCAACTTTTGACTGGTAGTGCAAATGTAACTCTCTACCTCAAGCTGACATTTATGAAAGATACTTATATGACGAGAGAACAAAGTTCATGTCATATCTAACTGCTGCATGTGCTTCTAGTTAACACCCATGTTTTTCATTTATTATTCTACGCTTGCCAAATGTCTGTGAGTGTAGAGAACGGACAGATACACACACTCCACCCAGTTCAGATACTGAGGTTATAGCACTGATGTAATACAAAATTGTGTTACAGTGCAAAGAATAAAACGATAATAATACAGTACATACTGGTAATTAATAACTGTAATAAGAAGCCACTGATACACTGATTTGTAATTATGCAATGCAAAACAAGGTAATACTATATAATAATTACTACTACTAATAATAATACTGTAAAATAACTGCAGTAATGTAGCCCAGAAGGCCAGAAGGAAGGCATGGTGCTGTGTTGAAGACGCTGGTAAATGAGACTCAGCTGTTACGCAGCTCATGATGGGCAGGTTCACTTCAGCTCAACACATCAGAGTGCTTCCAGTCTCAAACGCTTCTAGCTTCACGTTCAGCGAGGAAGATGGATTTCAGAGCTGTGCAGTTTCTTTTCTGTGTGATTTGTCTGGTGCGCTGCAGCCCGGAGCAGAGCTCCACAAAGAGAAAGAATGGCAAAAAAGGTCAAAGTGAAATCATTTGTCTAGCTACAACATTTCTATACAGCATAAACCATTTCTATACCCACATTTTTGTTTGTTTTTATGCAATTGGCAGTTTGCATTAATTCGATTTTACAAAATTAACTCATTCTTCTATTTTCAGAGTTTTTAATCCATTCTCAATTAAAAATATGTTGTGCATTGTGAATTTGAATTGACCTTGTTTATGTATAATGTATAATGCTGTGCTTGTTTGCAGGTAATGAAGAGTCGAACAGTGCTGCTATCGAGGAGCTGAAGAAACAGATTGAGCAGATTGCGCAGGATCTGAATCTGCTTAAGGAACAAGAAGCTTTACAAACAGGTACTGAGTAAAGCTGCATCTGTAAAGACATTGAAATATGTACACTAGAAGTTACACATACTCAATTTTGT